CTAGATTGCTTATCCTGCTCCAGTGTCTTGATCTGGCCTTTTCCTCTGCATATTCTTGCTCAGTACACCAGGCTCCCCAGCTGAGTTCTGTCCACTCTCTACCACCTAAGGTCTCTTGGTCYCTGTCTCCTTCTTCATGTTCCTTATTATACCTGTCTGATGAACCATATTTCTAGGATGAGGCATCCTCAGAAATGTTCAGCCCAAGGTTAGAGTGCAAGAGTCTACAGCTTCCTCCATCTCTTTCTGGGATAGTGAATTTTATCTGTGAAAGAAACTGCTGCAGGTTTGCAGATCACCTCTGCTAAAGCTCTTAGGAACAAGGCTGTAGTTTTCCTAGCTTATAATTTGGCTAGACCTGGAGGGAAGATTTGTGGATAAAGAAACAACACATTTCTGGCACGTAGGCTGTGCCACAGCTATCCCCAAGCCTCATTCAAAGTGCTAGACTGCTAAAGCTCTTCTTTTCAGTATGGGATTGGCTTTTTTTTTTTTCCCCATAGTCTAGCTTTCCAGAGAAAGAAAAACTATTGCCCAAACATATTCCCAGGAGGAAAAATGGTACCCTGAAGGCTAAACATTCGGCATGGATAATTTCAGTCTAAAGACCTAATTTGGCAGTTGTAAGCAACAGCAAACTAGATTACAAGAAATGTCAGAGATCTTAATTTACAATATTACTCGCCTTTCCCATAAAAAATTTTGTTATTATAGGTGTAATACAGCACAAAGTAGTGCTTCATATGTTATTATTTAATTCTTTTGTTATGCTAATATGTGATACCCTAAATAAGTATCAGGACATCACATTACAAGGTTTTGTAGAACATACCAAACCATTATCAAATAATCACTTTAGGAAAGGGTTTACAGTCCAAGATGAAGACTAATTATTCACATCTAACTATGCTGGATTTAAGTGCTTCAGACATGCAAGAGCTTTCTCCAGTTACCTTTTCATAGCCTCTAAGCACAATTCCTGATGAACTAGCTTTGTCACAAAAAATCACCAGTATGAATTTTCCAGTGAGAGCGCTCTGACCCAGTTCTAAGTTAAAGCTTTTATACACCATTAAGTAAAAACTTAGGAAATTGTGAGTGCATGATACTGGCCTAATAGGAAGAGATTCTCATAATGAAGTGGAAGCTGAATCCTCAGCTGTTCTGAAAAATCCATCTCTACCCTTTACAGAAATAACTGGAAAATGCAGAGCTCCATCCCCCAAACMAATATAAAATACTGTACCTTTGACTTAACATTTAGCTGTTTCATAAATCAAATTATTTGCTTCCTGTGATAGCTGTGCAGTGCCAAAAATTTGCTACCAATCATGGAGGACTGTTTCAGCTAGCATTTTTTTATTTTTCTTTATAGAGCACCAGGTTAAAAAATGGCCCATATTTCTGTAGCAATTTCTCTCCTGTACACATAACAGCAAAGAAAAACAATATGAATACTTAGTATTTTGTTAAGTACATTGGACTAAATGAAGTTATATAAAAAAAAAGTCTGCAATTTGCAATAAAAATTCATTTCCAAAAGAGTCGGTAGAGCTGTCAAAACAAACAAAAAAATCATTTCTATGGTATATACTATTAGACCATACATAAATGAAATTGCATATACACCAAGACCTAAATAACTTTATAAAGGCATCCTAAATTTCCTGAGACAGATGGTGGTTCACATACAGACAAGCTATGCATTCCAAAAGGAATTTTTCTTCAAGAAGTCAAAGGAGATGAAAGAATCTTGGGGCAACGTTTATAAGGYTATTAAATTAAAACAAACCCATCAAACTGGTGCAGCCAGGTAAGAAAATAAAAAGCAAATGAAAGGAAGAGATTATTTTGGCCCTGATAAGGAGATCACGCAAGGAAAACACACACATGGGGAGATGTTAAGTCAGKAAAGGGTAAAAGCAGAAGCTTAAATGTAAGTATGATAAGATTTTCACCTTTGCTCTGGCCCCTGTAAACTGGATGAAGGCACCGGTGCAGTGGGAGGAGATACCCGAAGCCCTGAATGCAGTGGTGACAGGAAGGAGGTCTCCATTTGATGGCCCTCCAAGGCTTGGCGTCCTAAGAAGGGAACACTAGGAGCTCCACAGTACCAGGTCTTCTGAGCAGACCCACTTTACAGAATGGGCTAAGGAGGCTTTGTTACAGAAAAGCTCTTACAGGCAGCTCTAATGTCCACAGACATGAAAACTAATTTTTAGATGAACTTTGCCCCAACTCCTTCCAGTTCCTCTCTGCTTCTACACTCAGAAATGCAACACAGATATTATCACTTCATGTACTTCAATATCTGCAGCTTTAGTAGGACTCAGGTAAGGTACTTTAATTTACTTTACTTACTTTAGGTAAGTAAAGCTAACGTTTCCAGTGCAGTCAGTAAACAAGAGGAAATAGAAATACTGTACTCAAACCTGCAGAGAAAAACAGAAACTTTTGTTGGTACTCTCAATTAATCCACTATCGCAATGTAATAGTGAAAATATTCTTTACTTTTCTCAGATAGGGCAGAGAAAGAGAATTATAACAAATTCAGCTATACATCCTGCATCACAGAATCACAGAATAGTTGAGGTTGGAAAGGACCTCCAGAGATCAACCAGTCCAACCCTTTGCTCCAGCAGGGACACCCAGAGCACGGGGCACAGGGTGGCATCCAGGTGGGTTTTGAAGACCTCCAGAGAAGGAGACTCCACAGCCTCCCTGGGCAGCCTGTGCCAGGGCTCTGTCACCCTCACAGGAAAGAAGTTCCTCCTCACATGCAGATTGAACGTCCTGTGTTTCAACTTACACCCATTGCCCCTTGTCCTGTCACTGGCCACCACTGGGAAGAACTTGGCCCCTTCCTCCCTACATTCTCCCTTCATGTACTCAAACATACTAATCAGATCCCCTCTCAGCCTTCTCTTTTCTAGAGAAAACAGTCCCAACTCACTCAGTCTCTCCTGATAGGAGAGATGTTCCAGTCCCTTAATCGTCTTTGTTGTTTTCCACTGGAGATCAACAGCCTTTCTAGGAGCTCCACGTCCCTCTTATACTGGGGAGCCCAGAACTGCACACAGTACTCCAGGTGCGGCCTCACCAGAGCTGAGGAGAGGGGCAGAATCCCCTCCCTTGACCTGCTGGCAACACTCCTCCTGATGCAGCCAGGATCCCATTGGCCGCCTTGGCCACAAGGGCACACTGCTCACTCATGGTTAACTTGGTGTCAACCAGGACTCCCAGGTCCCTCTCCAATGAGCCATTCCCTAATCTGTCCTGGTGCCTGGGGTTATTCCTCCCCAGGTGCAGGACCCTGCACTTGTCCTTGTTGAGCCTCATGAGGTTCCTCTCCGCCCAACTCTCCAGCCTGTCCAGGTCCCTGTATTAGTTCTATACGGCACCTGCTTTCTGACATGAGAGTTCGAATAGATGGCAACATGTTTCTTCATCCTCTTAAAAATATCTAGGATTTATTCCTAGATATTCCTTTATATCATTTATTCCTGAATGATCTTCCTGTGATTGTTCTTAATGTTCTGAACACTGTTCTGATTGTTCTGAAATCATTTTTTTAATCTAGATTATGAGGTAAAAATCCAGTGAAAATTGCTGTAGCTTATGTTAAAAGATCATTTTGCATTTGCTGCGTGCTTTATACTGCATCTAGTATAAAGAGCATGAATTTCTTACTTCTTGGAGCTTGTGATTGTGACCTTAATAACAGAACAGCCTGCCTACCTTGGCTGTGGAGCAACGGGAGCTCTTCTATGTTTCATGCTACAGTTTTTGAATCAAATTTTCTAGGGTTTTTTTTTTTTCTATTTTGTAGGAGAATTTAAGGTACCAAAGTTAAAAGAGAGAGAAAAAAAAATAAAATAAAAAAAAAAAATGAAGAGGATCTTATTTTGTAGAATATAAGCTAATAAAGAAAACTCCTTGATCTGCAATAAGGACCCTTACCTTAACCAATACGGATTTAGTTCACCCCTGAATTTCATCAACTGGACTAATCTGCTTGTGTATTTATGACATTCTGCTGGATTTGCCAGCAGATCACGTGAATTTTGCAAATTCAAAATATCAACCTAAATTTGACTGGTTCTTTGCAAATGCAGTTAAAATAGAAAACAATTGAGCAATTGCACATGTTCACATAATTCTGAAAATTAATAATCTAGYTCCCTCTTTCAATTATGTCAAACAAGTTACAGCAGGAAAGCAGTAGTTCAGATCTCAATCATCAAGCTGGTGATAAGGTTTTAATATAATTTTAATGGGAACATTTTCCTGAGTAAAAACAACTTGTTTTGATTTGTTYTTAAGACCCATATCTAATCCCCAGACTCATTGTAATATGCTGTCTTTGACAGCATGGGATAAAAATTCACTCTGAATTTGTAAACTACTTTTCCAAACAGCAACATTATTATTGTTTGCTCTTTCCTTCTCTATCCATTTTCCTCTCAATGTTACAAGATATTTAGGCTTGTCCATCAAATGATATAAAATGAAATAGCCAATGACAGCGTTACCAAAAATATCATTTCCTTTTTTTAAAAAAAGATATTTTTATACAGCTAAGGACACGTCATTTTAAAATGTTTTATTTTCAAAAAAAAAAAAAGTAAATGATCTTTTCACTAAGCAGCAAACAAAATGATGTATCTATGAAAAATATGATAATGCTTTTTTAAGGATGTGCAGATGGTGCAGTTAGAACATCTGCAGCAATACAGGAACTGAAGAGAACAGGAATTCTTTGAGAGGATGAGTTACTACCTCCTATCTATTTTTTTTACAATATTTGCAATGTTCTGTACTGAGAAGCATTTTCTACTTGATATTTGGCCCCTTTTCAGAGTCACTATTATACACAAGAGAGAAAGGTAATTATAAAATCTGCTAAAAATCTCAATCATTCCACACTCAATTTTTCAACATGTCATCAGCTCTGCTTATTTTTTTTTTTTTATTTGCAGCAAACAGCATTTATTTACACAAATAGAAAGCATCTTCAGAAACAGAGTAAACACATTACGGAGGAAGTTTAGAGGTGAGCAAGACTGGTATGGAAACAACCTGTGAATGAAGAGCTCTAAGTAAACTTGCAGGTTTTGGTCTAGAAAGGAAATAACTGGAGGAACATAACAGGCACCTAAGATACCATCAGTGGCAGAAAAAAGCTGATGGGAAGTGGTRGTTCGCTGCGTGACAAATCAAACTAACGAGTAATGAGTTCAAAACAGAGAACAAACCTAGTTGTGCTGTGGAACTTCTTGTCATAGATTGTGACAGAAGTTTATATGGATGCAAGAGGACACCAAACAATTAATGGGAAAAAAAGCCCATTCAAGATTGCTCATCACTTGGAAATTGCAATCCACTTAAAAATATACAAATGGCTGGAGTCTAGAAGAGTACATGGGGTACGTAGAGTACATAATGCAAACTTGTGTTCTTGCACTCTTCCCTAGACATCTTTTTTTGGTCATTTATACCAATGAGCCTTTGGTGTGACCCAAAGGGGCTGCTCTTCCGCTCACCTATTTTGGTCCCTTTATTGGTAAAAATGGTTACATGTGTAAATGCACAAGTACAAATTCAATGAAACCTATAAAACAACTTTCAGAATCTTTTGTATCATTATATATCCTTCCAGGTGTCAAGAAGACCCTGGATCATAGGGATTACATACTGGCTGTTGTGTTTTAAGATCAACAATGAGCTAAGGGGCACTTTACAAGGGATGGTCTTTGCCTAAACTAGATGAAATCACCAACGTGGAGAAATAAATGCATCATTTTCAAGATTCTCCCAAATATCTGACTCTGATATTACATTTCAGAAGTCCCCAGACCATGAAATTACCTGGAAAGTGAGGTCCACCTTAAAAGGTAAGTATTTTTACCCATCTCATTTAAAGTTCAGCAATCCAAGTCAGTGAATGAACTATAAAAAGCACTTCTTAAAACCAGCATCTCAAGCATATTTAATCTTTTTCTTATATCATGTGTCTATGTAACTCAGTCTTTTTTGTTTTTTTTTTTTTTCTAACTTTCTTCATCCTGCAAGTCCTGAGTGGGTTCCTCTACTGCATTCTCTGTGGGTGAAGGCTGTGCTACTTCTTGTGCTGATTTTGTTTCAGATGGTGGTAACGCTGTAGCTGTAGCTGATGCTCCAGGTGCAGAGGTTCCTTTCAAAGTTGATCCGGACTCTGAGGAGCGGGCTGTTTCTTCCATCTTTCTTGGTGAATCCTTTTTGGCTACCTGTTTGTCTTTGCTGTCTTTTCCAAGTTTTGATTCCCAAATATTTTTTAAAGAAGCCCTGAAGTGGAAATGAGAATTGAACGAAGATGTACATTTAAGTAGGTACATTTAATGTAAAYTAACTGTTCTTAATCATTCCCCTCCCATCTACAATCTTTATAGTTGCAATGCAAAGTAGTTCTTTCTAATCTCAAGAAGGCTGTTCATCTTTTTTTCTACTGGCAACATAAATATTAAACCACAGAGGAATATGATTAGCTCACTCCATGTCATGTTTGTCACCAAACAATATTGTAATACTTTATTTTGATCAAATAACACAAAAAACATATTGTACGCTGTCCACCTACCGGTGAAGAATTATGAAGATTAATACAAAGATCACACCAATAACCACAACGATTCCAGTTACCAGGGAAAAGATCAGAACTATATATGCCCTTGTCTTCCTTGGTGATCTTTTTTCCTGTCCTGAAGAAAAGAAATGCATGGTCATTATTTTGTTTGTGTTTTCAAATGAGTCAGTCATTTTATGACACGAACAGAACTGAAAAGGAGCAGGTCTTGATTCTTTACTGTCTGGCATCTTTTGTGACCATTAGACTTTTACTAAATCACCTAAGTCAAAATAGCAATATTTTATATCTTCTTTGCCTAGGCCTATCTGACCAGAGAAGAGGCAAGGAAATGAAGATTAATACATGTAGAGTGGGATTCAACTCGCTTAACTTGAGATGTTTTCCTGTGTAGGTATTTCACCTCTCTCCCTATAATCAGTAGACTGACTACACTCCAGTAGTTTTCAAGCTACACTCAGCTGATCTTGTTTAGATGTCCAGGATGAGCTGAACTGATCCCATTCCATGGAGGTCTGGCCAGATAGCTCAGATATGAACAACTGGTTAAAAGGATTCCGCTCTTATTGTTTAAGAAGACTTAGTGGTTTTAAATGGCAGATAGAAAAATCAGAGCTTTGAATGCCAAATATTGGCAGGAAATTACTAGCCAAAATAACTGTGGCAGAAAAGGACACTGTAATGCACATTATTTGGAGAGAGGAAAAAAGTACCTAYTTGGTACATGTTAAGAAGAGTTTTGCTTTAGGAACTGTTTCAATATAAGACTTCAAGACATGCCCACACAAGTTATTAAAAAAATATAGAGAAGCAATAATTATGGGAAACCATATGTCACTTGAGGTAGGCACAGCTCCTTTGCACTGGGCCTGGTACCAAGTGCTCCATCATCCAGGACGGAGACACCAAGTTACCAACACAGTGCAAAAGAATTCTAAGTCACAATCATTGCCATAATAATGATAATAATTAAGATGAAAGACAGTATGCTAACAAAGGACTGGATTCAATGTCTTCAATGTTTAAAGTGCTCCTTTTCATTTCTCTGTTTCTACCTAGGTCTTTAGATCTTTTTTTTTTTTCTTTTTGCTTAAAGCAAATAACCACACAGCAGATAAAGTTGTTCTGCATGGCCCAGAATGCAGAACTTAACTAAAAGCAGCTACAAGAAAGTGAGCTGAGGAGGGGGACATGTAGCAAAGATAACAAGTAAAGATATTTTTTATAATTTTGCAGCATGTTAAACCTTGAAATGTTTATCTAAAAAAAATCAATGGTCCTGACAATATTTAGACCAGTTTATTTAATACTGGATATACCCATTAGGAGACGACAAAAGAACAACACAAGAAGAGGGGAGAACTCTAAAGATGGTCAACAAATTTCCTCCATCTGTTTTTTGACAATGGATAAAGAAATGCCTGGAGAGCAAACCCAGTCATCTTGCTCCGAAATTTAATTGAATTTACTTGTTCAGGCATATTCAAGCAAATCCACAAAATGTCAGGCATCTTTCCTTATTCCTCCAGCTTTGACAATTTTACCCAAGCCAGTCTTAATTTCTCTCTCATTTTCCCTCAATCACATATATTCTACAAGTAAAAAGTGATTTCTGTTTGCTGACTGGTATGCAAAAATCTTTTTTGGTATACCAGAATGACTGCAGGAAAACCATCTCTATTTCTACTTCATTTCTATTTCTATTTCTATTTCTATATAAGGTCTTGTTCCACTGTCATCACTGCAGTATCTAAGCAACTCTTCCATCACATCATTTGAGTTTCACTCTCCCGCATCACGGAATTTTCATTTTGTTATTCTTAAGCCACAGCTCATCCACAGGATTCTCCTGATCTTTCTGCAAGATACAGTACAGGTAAGAATGGTAAACTAGCTAAGAATATCATAAAATACAAGTCTAAATACTGGGAGTTTCAGACCATGTAGAGCTACCTGCTTTTAGATTAATTCACTAACTGGACTGTGCCTTTTTAGAGGTATATGCAGTTGAAGGGAATGGACATTAATTAAAATTATCTTGTATTTTGCAGTTTCATTACAAATACATGAGTATTTTATTTTTCCCTTTGTCAAAATGTGAACTTAGAGCTCTACGTGTACTTCTGCTCACAGGCTGTAACAGGATTCTGCTGATGCGAAAAGCAAATTTCATTCTCTCCACTGTTGACCTGCTCAAGTTTTCTTCCTGGAAAGGAAATTCTGCCAGCAGTCAAGAACTAGAACTGCCCAAGAGACAACCTGGTAATACAGAGGGGATGCCTTCCAAGTAAACACACATTTTCAAAATGCAAGCAGGAAGCAGACAGAAAAGTGTCTTCCCAATAAGCTGGTCTACAATGGGCAAAGACTGATTCATCAGGGGCACTTTTAAGCCAACAGTCGTAAATCCAGGCAACGCTTTCAATCAGTAAGAATTTTGCTACGTAAGCAGAATGTATCTTAATATAACTTCTGCTTACAGGTAAGATATCAAAGATGTCTGTGAGGATATCAAAGAAGTATTTGCAGCAACTGTTTTTTTAAAGTCCATTTAGCTTAGCCGAAGAAGAAAAATATTTACTTTCTGGAACATGCCATGTCTAGTTCAGTGGTTTTCAACTTGGGAGTCTACAGCCTGTTGGATGTCTGTAGGCTGCTTCACCATGAAGAATGATGAAGAAAAGCAATCTCATATGTTTCACAACTTCACTGTATGATAATTCCTAAAATGGTGTGCACCCTTACTGAAAAATTTCGACATTTCCACAGTTAAAAAGAAAGATTGTTAACATATTTGCTAGCAGATTGTCTACTACCAATATATTTTGCAGAAATCTCCAACTGTACTGAAAGGTTGGCACCATCTTGCCTAAGAAAAGAGTGCAACTTAAATGAAATGAAAGAGTAGGATTTAGCTCCAGACTGCAGGTACTTAAATTCTGCATCTAAAGCACAGAGCTGAACTTTACTCTTTTGTGCAAGTCAAACCAAGGCAGTAAGGAAAGATAAGAGAGGATGTCCAGATTTAGTACCTAGTTTGCACCAGGGCTTCCTAAGACCAGTCTGTGGTCAGGACAGTGCTGGCAATAGCTCACAAAGGTCTTTTCCTCATCTCCAAATGGTCCAAACACCACACCAAGCCCCTCCTCCCAAGCCCTTTCCTGCTAAGAAAACAGGGGGACGGCATACTGAATGGGAGGAAATAAAACTGTAATTTTATGTCCAGTAATGGTTGCTAAGAAGCTTGGCAGCTTTTTAATCTTTTTTGTGGCATCAGAATAATATTCAGGCTGAGCCAACATGCAGGACCTGACTTAAGGATCTTGGAAAGCTACTGCTTTCTCATCTGGGCCCGAAGAGCTTCAGTGCAAACTGCCCTCACAACAAACATCACAGCAGGATAGCTCTGAAGGAAAGAACACAAACTCTTTGCTGTGGTGCAGCCTTGCAAATGCACTCCCATTGCATGCCACCGAGTTTAAGCAAGGGTTCATTATTCTTTGCTTTCTGTGCAGTGCATTTCTGGACTGTCCTCTGCCTTCATGGAACCATCTCTACTTTAATTTGTTCAAATCCAAATATACTTAGAAGCATCTGTTGCCACTGCTAGTATTTCCCTCCAGAAAATGTCAGCAATGCAACTTCTGTCTCTGCATTCTCTTCAGACATTTCTTCGCTAAGAAATAGACTTAACGATACTGAAAATTATATATGTCAAGAAACTGGAGCACCTGCTGTTCCTCACCACTTCTAGCAAAAGGAATCCCACTGCCTCTGCCAGCAGCACTGTTCCTCTTTATCCTCCTGTTCCCCTGGATTTTTCATTGAGCTGAGTTCCTCTGTTGACTGTCCATCTATAAGTAGATACTTGAACAATTGTTTGCATGGTCCAGCAGCCAACAAGAGTTTTTTTCCACTTGCTTTCAGTTCCAGATAGTGYGTATCCATTTGGCAGAGGGAAATGAAATTCTGCCTCTATAGGCTTTTTTTTTTCTTTCCTGAATATAATGGTGAGACATAGCTTTATATTTCTTTTCCAGATATCTCTAAGACTCTTCCTATGTATTAGAAGTGCACAGAGATATGCAAATGTGAGTGCAAGACTACACTTAYACACGTGCACACAAACACCTAAGCACAGAGGAGGCTCAGACTGCTACACTTGGGCACTGGCATTGCCCCTTTCATCACTGTGCAAATGCAAGACCATGGCAATGAGTATTAAGCATCTGCCCAGTAACCCTTTGCAGAGATGTGACTTTTACCTCTGAAGAGAGCTCTGGCACTGAAACCATCACCACAAAATGAGCAGAGGAGAAATGGGCGCCAGAGAAACCTCTGAGACAGCTGCTGCCTGGTGTCTACACAGGTCATCTCAGACAACTGTGGAGTTTGGGGCACAGTGAGGATCTCACAAGGCCAACACTCTTCACAGATCACAGTAAGGAAGATGGTTCTCTACCCTCAAGGGGAGGACCCTTGCAAAATAATCCCCACAGGACTATTATTAGARAATATGAATAACCTGCCTGCTGGCCCTGGAGGATCTAACACAACGCCAAACAACATTACAGACAGCAGTGCAGAACAAGACCTTTTCCTGTATCTCAGATTAAGATTTAGTAAGGAGATACAGAAACTCCAGTTATTAAGGGATCACAGTATTTTTTTCTGAAGATAAAATACTTTTTCTCAGTCAACAGATTGCTGTGAAAGACAAGGACCCACCAGCCTGAATGGTTCTGAAAACAAAGCAAAAAGCCAAATTACTAAAGATCATTCATTCATACACAAAGATCAACACAAAAATGATCAACACCCTGTTCATCAGAAGGTCACTGAGAAGGGCAGTGATGAGTGGAGCAAGGACATACGTAAGTTCTCAGTGGAGACTTATAAAATTAAGTCATACTAAGTTTTTCCACATGGAACATATATCCAAAATCTCATGATGTTTTTACCTGCCCTTCTGCAACATGTGTCCTCCCCTCATCCCACCTCACACACCTCAGAATTTGAACCAGAAAGTGTCCTGCTATGTAATTCTGAATGCTGGCTTTGAAGCCACACTCTCAAACAGTGTGTTGCTATTGCTGTCCTGAACTGTCATAGAATCTGGACCCTGCTGGTCTTACAGGTAAATAAAAACATCATTAGAGAAAGGAGGAAGCATGAGGCATTTGCCCCTTCTTGGTTGCCTTAGTTAATTTTAGCTCTGCTGACCTGCTCGCTACTGAGCAAAAGCACTTGCACTTCCTCTGCCCTGTCCTGTAGCTCTGGGACTGGCACAAAGAAATCCATCACTGTGGAAAAGCAAAGGGAATCTGAAAGGTCATGCAAAAGACAAAGTACAAACTTCAGCGTTACGGACTTCAGTGACTCAGACAGAAGGCTAGAAAAATCCCAGTTGGAGAAAAAAATTTAAAAAAGTAATTTAGGAGCTAACAGAGAGGCAGGCTCCTATTAGCTCTGAAATTTTAAGAGCTTTAGATTTTCTTCCTAAGCAGAACTTATTTGACAGCTCAACTGATTCAAATACTCTTCTTAAAGACTATATGGGACACTCCCCTAGAACCAGTTTGTGCCCATCCAGCTCACCCTGACTTGAAATCTTTGAGGCCAGTCTTGGATGAAGTAAAGACAAACGTTCAGTCCTGTAGATTGACTGAAAAATGAGTCTGATTTTTGATACTGGCCTTCRTTTTTTTTCTTCTGTATACTTCAGGTTGAAGGCCAGTTTGTGGCAAGAGAAAAGCTCTTCCCTGAATAAGACAGTTAGAATTTCTGAAATACTGAAATATGTAGAAAAACGATCTTACACGACAGGACTACACCTACATCTGAAACCTTCAGTTCAAAAAATAATTTATTGGGAAACTGGGAAAGACAACATTACACAGCAGGAAGAAACACTGCCCCTTTTCAAAGTCTGAGCAGCAGCAGCTCTGCAAACTATAAGGCAGCAGCTAGAAAAATCTACATCCACACACAAGCAACTTTGCTGCATATCTTGATGCTATCCAAGAGATCTTTCTATTTTGCTCCTGATTCTGTTGAAAAAGTAAATATATTATCTCACTAAATTTCACATCATTTCAGGAAAACTGGACCTGTATGATGCAAGCACTGGTACATTCTTTATCAAAACTTCTGCTGCGAACTTCTTTCTCCTAACTAGTAAGATTTGGTATTTTTTAAAGTTCAAACAAGTGCAGTCTTGGGGGAGCAGATCCCAGAACATCTTCTGGTTACATTCACAACTCTGGACAGAGCTAAAGGAAGAAAACCTATCACTGCCCATGATAATCCACTCCTTCTTTGAAGCTTTTTAATAAACTTTAGAACTTGCCTTCTTCAGATTTCTGCATAGCCATAACCAACAGTCTCAGGCATGTAAGAAGTTCTCAGTGGCTCTATCTGTTGGACAGATAGCTTCATCTGCCTGCTTTTCACCATAACTCTTTAATCATAGCTTAAGTATAGGTGTGCATGTCATCCTGCTGGTGACTCACCTACTCAAGTCAATGGGACTATCTGCTTAGATCGTAAACAGACAATATCCTCTGCTAAGGCAGCTTTCAGAAAGGAAATGTCCTCTTCATACAAAAGGAAATGTATGGACTGAATAGCAGGAGAAGAAAAAGAGAAGACAAATTCATATAATCAAAGCTTTGGCAGTATTGTGGCTGTCAGACGGATTTAGAAAAGAAATAAACAAATTCCTGGTTACTGCTCAATTGTAGGAAGGACCTCAAGATAGACAGAGCAAATAGCTGATGACTGAAGAGAAAGAGTAAAAGCAAGATTCTTAGGCTGGACTGTTTCATCTAGATAAACATGAAAGGAAGAGACGGGGGAGGGAGTATCCCCAAGGATTTCTTTCTTTCTGGTCTGCTATGCTTTTTGCATAACAGCTGAATCCTCATTATTTAAGGGAAAACTTTACATTTTGATGAGGAAGGTTATTTTCACCCCTCCTCTTATTAGGAAAGCTACAGTCTCCACGTGGTTATTCTTATGGTTTGAGCAGATCAGCCTACTGCTACTTATCCTGATGAAGTGAGCAAAAAATCCCATTAGCGGAGGGGAGAGAAAGATGTAACATGAGAAATGCTTTATGACATATTCTCTTTAGTGTAAATATTCTGTAAATCTATTGTGCATCAGCAAATTCCAGATGGCAGCTAAAAGAGAAGCCTCAAAAGACTGCTTTAGTGCTTCAGTACTGTAGGGGAAAGGAGTTTTAAACACACAAGCACCCAATGCTCTGCTGCTTCTATGTACCTGATCATCCTCCAATGTACTGAGGCAAAAGGAAGTCTATGCTGCTTTCTAGATGCAGTAATAAGTGAGCAGCTAAGAGGAARACCTGCTTTTTTTTTTTYTCTCAAATTTACAAAGCTAAAGAGAATACTCATTTCTACCACATGAAGCCTCTTCATTCCCATTCTATCATTTCCTTTTATATCTCTATTTTATTGGTCTGTATTTCATGACAGTCATTACCAGAGCACACGAGCTCCTGCCTGTGTGCTGGTGGTGACATGCAATCTCACAAAGATTGAGCACTACACAATGAACACAAGATCGCGTCTTCTCAAACACTGCGAGCGTTCCCTATGAGCTTACCAGGTGTAGTGTAGACTGTGTATTTTATAGAGGCAATTGCAATTCCCCTTTCTTGAGTATCACACTGGAAAGTAACTGGGCGGGTATCTCTGCGTACTTCCAAAATAGCTGAATCATTGGGAAGAATGACTGCTGGCTATCCATATTATATATGAAAAAAAAAAAAAGAAAAAAAAAAGAAGACAAGATTTGTCTCTTTTCAAATAGATTTGCAAAGCAGAGTTGCAYTCTGTTAGACATACAGAAGAAGTGCTTATTTTATCTCAGCAGTTTTGAAYACACCAGGACCCCTTGGTTGCTGAGAAAAGCCCTACCATCTCTTCAGCACCTGCTGTTCAAACAACTGTGAAGGGCAACATGGTTGTGACTTGCTGACATGTATTCACATATCAGTCACTATGCCCAATATTTCTGAAATAAGAGCAAATAAATATTGCTCTCTGAAATAATATTTTCCTTTAAACAAAATGGAAATTGAAGCTCCATAAAGGTGCAAAGTCTTGTAAGTCTCAGTATTACCAACTTACATGCGAGAAATCAGGGCTTGTTTGTATTATGACAACAAAGGAAATAATCAGCTCAGAAGTCAGTACAAGTCAGTAGGAGCACATGGTAGACACATTCAGTATGCAATTTTGCTGCATAAAGAGGGTTTCAATTACTTACCTGGTCTGGAGTTAAAATCTTCCAAACATACTTAAATCGATTTTCTGGAGGTATAAAAATACAAGGCATCTTCACACTGCCAGAGCTGTCAGAAACTGGTTCTCCCCCTGCGGGAGGAATTTTTAATAGGTACATCATCAACTCTCTGAAACTACTTCTGTATAGACCATAAAGTTCATAACTCTTCAACCTGCAGAATATTGCTTGGAAATCATCTCTTTTTTTTTCCCCCTTAAAATTACCTCAAATACTTTTTTTTTTTTTTTTGCTTGGTCTACTATTTGTAACGATATACTTATCTACTAAATTAAAGAAAAGTAGAAAAAAAATACAGGGTCTGGAAATCAAATACACATCAGTACAGAAATGAAACCTGAAATGTTCCCAGCATGCTTAATTGGGTAATTGGAGGGTGGAATAAAATGATTCTACTTCCACCACACGAGGAATAAGGATGTTTTCTTCCCGTCACCGGTTTGCTCCAGGTTCCTGTATCACAGTGTTCCACTCACATCCGCAGTCTACTTGCCCCCGGCACTCCTCCACACGGACAACACATTTCTTCTCAGTGCCAGGGCATCCTCTCGTTAACAGAACTTCTCGAATCCCAATCCCTTTGGGAGAAAAAGAAGAAAAAAAAAGGTACAAGTATCTTTCAGTCAGCATTTCTTCATTTCCTTCCAACTGTTTTTACATTTTCCTTCTTTGACATGGATGTTAATATGATATATCTACCAAACACCAGGCAAAACAGACCTTCTCTGAGTGCCTGCTAAAGCTATCCCATATTACTGTCTGAGAGTACAAGACAACATCTACTTCTGTCAGACTTTGCATCACAAGAAGATAGATCCCTGTGTCAGAAAAACAGTTCAAAATAAGTTCAAATTTTCCTTAAAGAAAAAGAATTCAAAATGAAACTGATGTATGTGCTGCAAAACAATTAATTCACTTTAAATATCAAAGCATTCAAGCACCTGGCCTTTAAATGCTCAAATCAGATGGCACAGATATTACTGCACAGACTGCCACTCAGTTTGCCTCCAGTCTGGTGATTCTCTTAAGTGTCTTCAACTCCCACCAAGGCCATCAGAAACTYAGAGCACTAAAAACTTCCTAGGATTGAGACTGGAGAGTCCTGATTTTCCCTATGGCAACCGACAATGAGAGCCAAAGGAAGACCATTACCAAACTCCTAAATGAAATGAAGGCTGCCAGAGACCACACTGGGTGGTGGCCAGTAATGTGAAGGGGATGAGAACTAGTGTGGACCATAAAGAYTCCAGCAGCAATGTAGGGGGTGTACTGAAGGACAAGAAGTAGCCTATCATAAATACTTAAAGTTAAGGATTCATTTTCCATACATCATTCAATTAAGCAAGAAGTATTTGCTCTCATTGCCAGGATTTCAATGGGAACATCCTCATTTTAACAATTACCAAGAAATGCAAAACAAGTGCTGTAATTGCTTTTGCCAAACTGTGTACACAGTTCACTGGAATGACACAGCGTGTGGGGGAGGAAGGAATAATATGTTTAGGTCCAATAAACATCAAAGATTTTGCCATTATTCCAAAATCATTTTGTTCACTAAACAGGCATGGGGAAAGGAGAGTTAACACTCCTTTGCACTGTAACAATAAATGGGCAATTGAYGTGAATGTTGCATTTCTGATGCATCTGCCTTCTTTAAATGTGTAGTATCTAAACCAGTGTATTTCAGAATCTTTTAGAGATGTCATATAACTCATGAAACAGCACTTCAAGTGACAGAGGGAGACAACACCACTTACTGGAACTGACACAAAACAAGGATCATTCTCCACTGCAGAGAATGTCTCATCTCCTTCTTGCACAGACAGAGGTGTAAATGGCAATGAACTGACACTCTTATGAAAGGCTTTCTGCTTTCTTCACTGCCGTGTATTTTCTTAGACAACAACATGAACAAAAACAGGAATCCTATGAAAATCCAAAAGGCTGACCTGAGAAAATCTGAGTGCTGGGATAAGTGCAGGACACATTCATCAGGAAAAATCTCACCACGTCTTACCTATGGGAATATTAAAATTGTGGAAGTATAGCACTTTCAAAGGGATGACTAAAAAAGCTCTGTTTGGGAGATATTCAAATTCTGTCCATACTCCTCTGCCTCTTCCTTTGGAATAGCTTTTTCCTTTCATTTCCATGTTTGCTTTCTGCATCTCTTCTTTTGYAGCTGCCAGTTCTGATGAAATTAATGTATTGGATCTTAACTTCAACAAGCAACAAGAGTTAATTTCACAGAAGAAAAAAAAATGGCCACAATGCAGTAAAAAGGCTTGTAAAACGGGCAGAAAAAAATATCCAAATGACATTCACCCTAGAAAAATGTAGATTAATAGATATGGTGAGGGGAAAAGAATCACAAAGAACTGAACACTGAGCAATAGGAACACAGCAGTTAGGGTAAGAATCTAGAGGAAGGAGTGAACAAAAGAATTTGACCTTAAAAAGACTAATGCAGAGTTTAGCAAGATATGATAAAGCTTCATTAACAAGTGAGTATTTAGGCTTTAATGATTTAAAACACTTGGAGTATGAATAGAAGAGCAATGGGACACAGCACTACTGGGAAAAGAAATCAAGAAAAGTAGGACAGTTCACAAAAGCAACAAACATAAAGATAGATGATTCTAAGAAGGAATGGGAAGGAGACAAACAGCTGACAGTTCTGCTGGGAGAACTGAGAGAACCTGTCAACAGACAGACGTGTAAGGATTCAAAGGATGCCTACAAACACTACCTGAGCTCCAGATATGAGACAATGCGTTTTTATTCTTTCTCATAGCTTCCATTTCCTGACTCTTCATTGGGATGGCACACAATTTTCAGTATTAAAGGGGTTAAATACTAAATCGGAGTGATCAAACATAAAACTGAGATGAGACTTAGTGAAATTCCCTGAAAATACCGGGCATTTGAGAGAAGGCCTGCTAGTGAGATCACAGAATCACAGAATGGTCAAGGTTGGAAGGGACCTCTAGAGATCATCATGACCTCTAGAGATCGTGTCCTCTGCTCTAGCAGGGACACCCAGAGCAGGGGCACAGGGTGGCATCCAGGTGGGATGGGACATAACAAACAATTTTCCAGTATCCAAAGAACATGAGCATCAAAGCAGTGAGGATAAAAGATACACATGGAATGGGGCTATTGACCATAAAAGAGTATGTCCATAAAAGAGTATGGTATACTGACCATACAATCAGCTCTCAAGCTATGAAGGAAAGAAAAGGATACAATAACACAGATAAGAGCATTAAAAATCTCCTAATACTAGAACATTCTAAGATGCGAAGTAGTTTGCCCTAGGAAATGAAGGAAGTCCAACAGGGAAAATATGCAAAAATGTCTAGAAATAAATTAAAGGCTTATTCCAGAAAAGAATACTCATTCTTTTGAATGAGTGGCAAACACTCATCCTTTTTCTCCATTGTCTTATGAGGAGCAGAATTTGCTCAGGATAAACTTAACAGCATTTCCGATTCAAGACTGCTTTCTAAGCGATATAATTAAATCCCCACTGCAGTTCCTATCACCACCTAAAAAGAGATGACTTCTCAAGGCTCATCCCATTTTTCCTCTCCCCCTTCCTACTCCAGAATGATATCTCTCCTCTCCATTGCACGCTTTATAAATTGTATAAATGTGGAATACAGAACAGGCTACCRCAGGCAAGCAGTTTTTGGCAATATTGTATGTGGGAAGACATCTGTGAGAAGCATCAGAAGATCTTTCATCTTCTGAACATCTCACAGATGTTCACAAATAGCGAAAATTGTTACTTTGGGGAAGGCAGCTCATGTGCCAATAAATGTAGGGAACTGGTTTAAAATAGGAGCTTGCAGGCTGTGAAATTAATAAAACAACAGATCCGACCTAAACTTCTAATGACAATCAGCTTGATTGTTTTTGTTAATTATAGTTATTGGCAATTGAAATCAATGAGAGGTGAACGAGGGCAAGCAAATTATAACTGCTAAATTGCTACAGTTAGCACTTTTTTTTTTCAAAACCAAATTACAATATGTTTTATTCATCTGCTTTGCTACTTACCACATGTAACTGTGCATTCTCCAGACTCTACTTCCCTGGGCACGGTGTCATTCCAACCTGAACACAAAGTATAAAGTTATGTTTCTAATACAATGGAACCTACTCATAGAGATGAGTATGCCCAATTAACAGCAAAGTCACTCCTTGGTCTTATTTCTACTTCTCAGTTGAAATGGGAAATTTGCTACTATTTTTGCTATCACAAACTACAGCAGAGGAAAATAAGATTTTTTTTCAAAGCTATATCGTACAATCCAATATGAATAGCATTCACATTTAAACCTTAAGATGATGCTTTAAGAGAAAAAATGTATTTTTACTATAAATCTATTACACTAAATTGGGCTATTGAATGCTCTGGAAAATGCAGTGTCTAGGTTATATGCAAATTATAGTCCTTCACTGAAAAGAGTTAAGAAAAATTTTTATTAAACAGTATTCAGTTAATTCATTCCTTGTTCTTTCTGGCTAACATAAGCCTTCCCGCATGATTTTGTTCCCCATCACTTTCCAAGGTCAGGTTTAGACAGCTAGCACAATGATGAGTCAACCAGGTACAATATTTTAATTAGGTACCAGGATTTTAATCACTGTGATTGGGTTCCTTCCATTTTTTATGGTGCTTTAAGGTTATGGAATGGGTTTCACAGAATGTACAGAAGCAAAAGGTTCCCCTCTCCATCTGGGATTCAAATCTGGATTATACATTCTATTTCTATTAGCATGCAATCTAAATTTTTTGTTTATAAAGCTACTAAGATACAGTAGCTGTTTCATGGCAGAAGCAACTTAGTGAAGTGTCTTTGGAAATAATTCATTAAGTAAGCAATAGGTCTTTTTAATTCTGCCAAAAGCAAAGAGAAAAGACAAGTCATTAAGACTGTTTTTACAAGTCTGCATTGCCAGTCCAGCCTACTCAGATTATTTTTTTCTGATAACAAATACTTACCAATGTAAAGTTTGCTTTCACTGTCTCTCAGCTTTTTATTTTCAAGATTTATGTTTACAAAATGTTATTTCTGTGCAGTAATGCAAGTTGATATATCACCTCTTGCTACTAAATCTCTATGTAGCATTTACATTTTCACACGCTATCCAAAACTTTAGATTTCTCAGGTTGAAAGGAACAGATCCATTTCTCTTGCAGTCAGTGATAAACAAATATAAAACCTATATTCGTCCATAGTTAAAGATTAACACTGCAGTGGCACATTGCATTCTTCACAATGATAAAGTGATACTGAGGTCTTTTCCTCCTAACATTAGAAATGAGCCTTCAAAATCCTATTCTTCTGTTATCTCTGTATGGCTTTGACATTTATTTCAGCATATAAGCTCTGCTCATCAGAACAGTCTTTTAGCATACACACAAAAATGCTTAAACAATAAACTGTTCAGTTGAATGCTAATGTAAGACGCCAGCCTTATCCRGCTCGTAAGGAAGAAAAGTTAAATGAAAACCCTAGGAAAGCAGAGATATCCTTTAAAATGCCTAGTRTACCATCAAGCTCTATCTCAGACGAGCCCTACAGAACACCAGCTCTTTAGAAGACAGCTCTCACCATGGGCATCCTATCACATTTCTCTCAGTTTCCTTTATATGAATGTGACAGTCACCCAACAGTCTTGTCTACCGAGAGCTAGCCCAACATAGCAGAGGGGAGGAGCAGAATATAAAGATCCTGCAATACAGTTTAAATACAACCATGTTTAAAAATGCCTGTATTCAGTTTGGCACAGCATGAGTTGTGCTTGTTTGTGGGTATGGAATAAATGGAAGCCTGTAAAAACGAACAGGGGCATTTCCATTCTCAAATGGTGCAAATTCTTAACTCCGTAGATTTCCGACAATTCGTATGAGCTTAGAATAAGCCCCAAACTTCTGCCCTGGAGAGTACACATTGCTGTACTTCATTTTTGAGGTGACAAACTAAGYATACCCACTGTAGGATGATACTTCTGAAAAGCAGAAGTTGCAATTTCCCATCCAAGTACAAGTTTAAAAAAGAGGTGATGATGATGATGAAAAAGCTTAAGAAATAATCAGAGACTCAAAAACTTCAGATACTACTAGCAAAGGGTAGGAGGACTTTATGTGAACCAGTGAAAGCAAATTTCTCCTAATTAGAGGGGAAGGTTCGGGATTTTTCCTGCTGCAGCCTTTTGGCACAGATTCAAGAACGATGAACTAACCTGAGTTAACAACAGCTCTGAGTAGAAAAGATGCCATGTTTTCTAAGTACTAATACTCCAAATAAAGCTTTAAATATATCCAAGCATTGTAAGTCAGATCGCTAAACCRAAAAGAAACTCTACAAGAAACACGATCCGACTCAGTGTGAGTTCCCTGGCCAATGCAGTACTTYTTATATTTGTTATGAACCTTCCATAGCCGTATTACAAAGCAAAAAATTGCAGCTTCTTTTACTTTCATTGGCTCCCTCTATTTTCAAAGAACCATAACTTTAAGAAAGCTGCCTATAGGAAACTACAGGAAACTGCTGCTCCATCCACTTGCTATAAGTCGGCTGTTACCACTCGCATCGGGTTCAGATAAAAACACAGTGCTAGCCCTAYGCAGAGAGAGCTGTGTGTGCAGCTTCCACTCGTATTAATAGGAGTTATGTACGTAGATCCCACACGAGCCGCGATAAGAACGGGCTGAAGGGCTGCACGGACATTCCTGACAGGGGCTGCAATTAGTCCCCGCGTGGCACTGGTGGCCTCTGCTCCTCTCCGCGTTTGGAAGCCCTGTACGGCCTACGTGGAACCCATTTTTTCTTTCCTCCATTAAGCCCATTTGAATTGCAAGTCACATCCGAGGGTGGGCGCGGGAGGTCTGGGTGGGCCCCGCGCCCCGGCGCCCCGCTCCCGATGCCACAGGCGGCACTGGGAGGCGGCTGCCGGCGCACGGGCCCGGGCGGTGCCGCGGGAGCCGCTCCCGGAGCTCCCCCGGGCCCCGGGGAAGCAGCGGCACC